TGATTTGAGGTCATACTGAAAGACAGCATGATTTCATTTCAAACAAGAATTTGCTGCATTTAGAGTACATGCAAGGTACCCACTGACCATGCTGTGTGGTGAATAAGTCTATCTTGAATAAGAAATGTTTTTTGTTGTTGTCTCTTTTATTTTCAAATCTGATTTACAGACTAAGCAGGCCCACCTGATTTTTCTTTTTAGTGTTACAATTAATGCATAGGAATTGCTTAGGAAGTATTTGTTTCATGCATTTTCATCTAGTTACTTATATTAGTCAAATTTACAATTTATTTTGATGTGGCTCTATTCAGCAGCTGCATTTTATTTTAGGATTAATTGATCTGCTCTCCTATGTGACACTCCTTGCCAGATCTGCCTGTTTGTTGTGCTCTCTCCAGTCTGAGTCACCTGGTGAGACTATTGGCGCCCTATCAGAATATTTTGTCTTCAGTCAGGTTCTCTTTCCTTTCACAATTCCACCTTAAAGTTAATTCATGTACTTGGAGCCACTAACGAGTTACGAAATCCATGTCTGGTTTTGCTGCACAATTCTGGATCTTAAAAATAAGAGCATTCCATGAAGGGCAGTGATAAAATTCTGAGATGTAAAAATTAATTTGGAACAAACAGAGAAGACATGCAGCATTTCTGTATATCAGAGGAGTTTTCACAGCACTACAGTAATACAAACTGTAACATCAGGATCTCTAGGAATGTTCTTTTATAGCTGGGCTGCACTTAGGCAAAGGGAGATCACTGTTCATCTTCAACACAAAGTTCTGGACAGTTCAGGATGGAGGACCTAAACAGCATTTAAAGGCAAGGACTTTCCATGGTAGCAGAGATATTCTGGCATATTTTTGTCCAAGTCAACATCTTGTGTTAGACAAATCCTTTACAGAAAGAGAAGACAGCTGAGAGTACTGCAAAAGGGAAGCACTGTAAGCATGGTGGTATGAGGTATATTACCTTATGTTGTGGACACAGATTTGAACAATTCATTCCAGACACCTTATCAAGCCTCTTGCTGCCTGTTCTTACTGTACCTCCCCTAATGCACACACAGATAAGTTCTTTCAACACTCAAAACAGCACTTGGGACAGACTTCAAGCTACTTCATTCCCCATTCTTTGTCATGCTCATGATGGTGTCTTTTCACACTCACATCTCCACATATGTTCATCATACTGCCAGATGTACAAAGGGAGAAAAATAAATAGTTCAGGTTGATTCATGTACTTAGTTTTCTAAAAACCCTTTTTCTTTCAGCATTGTGGAGGTTGCCAAAATTAGGCTTCAGAGATGTTTTAAATGTCAAATGTATCCCTAGCTGTTAGCAGTGAATCTGTCAGGATGATTGTCTGCACTGGTTTAGACCATGTTGCTGAACAATATGATTTTAAAAAATTATGTGGTGGTGCTTCACTTCAAGTCTTCCACTTCAAAAGCACGTATGTCAAAGGTATGGTGCAGTGTTTGGCATTCTTATCGCCTGGCAGTAGATTTTGGGGCAGCATGAGCCAGGTGAGGGTTATTTTTTTCATTTCTGCACTGTGAGGATGTAATTAACAGTAGTAAACATTATCCTCTTAAGTGGCTGTACTGCATTTCTTCCTAGCTTAGCTTTGAACACGTTTCTTCTTTATCTTCTATCCAGCGAGACATTTGTATTGGTGTTCTGTACCACAGGTGTATCTTGTACACTGGGTCACAGGCAGTTACTGAGCACACCCCTGTTAATCCCATACCCAGTGCACCCTGGTAATTATTTACCTGCCTCTTACCCAAGCCCTCTCTTTCTCAATGTGTGAGTTGATATTGGTACAAGTGCTGTATAGAAAAGAGACGCAAAGCTGAAAACATCTTTCAATCTCCAAACATAATTCAGACTGAAGAATGTATTAATAGTACTCAAGAAAAAAAAAAAAGAACTTTATTGCTCTTGAACATGAGTTTGATGTTATTTGGGGAGGAAAATAACTCAATAAGAAATACCTAGTTGCTTGTCACCAGCCAGATTAGCAGTCATTTCTAAAGACTAATACTTAATTTAAAAGAAAAGCATGCTTTAAAAAACTGTTTCAGCTGAGAGAGAATGAGCAAACACCAATTGCTGTAGAAGTGATTCTGCTAGCCATGGGAACAGTGCTCTGCTGTAGGTACAAAATTTCACCAAGCATACAGTAAGGCTGTGGAGCAGGAGAGAACCTTCAGCAAGTGCCTTAGACAACTAGATGTATATAGGCTTAAGTGAGGACTTAGGATCTTGAGGCAAGACCTAACATCATAGACATCTTTGGAATACGAATTTTCTCTTTCTTGCTGTAGTCCTTTTTGTAAGCAGGCAATACATACCAGTTTGCATCATGACTGGTGTGTTTTATAGCTCATTGATTTCTGCAGGGTCTTGATTGCAGTTGCACCCAATAAATGAACAGTTGAAGACATGAGCTTGTGTTAAAAGCAGAGTATAAGGGCTGTAGAATTTAAGGGTAAGAAAAGTTTTCACAATGGTCATAACTTGAAGGAAGCACTTGGGAGAAACTGCACGGAGTAATTCCCCTGGTATCAATCATGTACTGGGAACAAGGAGGGGGTACATCCTGCTGGCTAGGCTCAGGATGGGTAAACTGCTTTTCTGTGTCTCATGGCATGAGTGAAGAACAACTCACACATGGGAGGGAAAATCATAGGAGAAATCCTGGCGATAGCTGCTATTGTTATACAGGTTCCCAGTTTGTTCCTAGACTCACACTGCTGAAATTTCTTGGCAGCCTTCCATGGTGACTGGTTCTTTGCAGGAGCCATGCTATCTAGGACAGTGCAATAAATCACTAAGCCATCTTTGCACAGTGGAAGGTGGTCCATGAAGTTTCGGTAAAGAACAGCTGTGCAGAGACCTGTTCATGGGCTGGTGAGCATCAGCAGCGTGGGCTGGAGCGGTCGAGGGGAGCCCCGAGCCAGCTGGCCGGGTCGCTGTGCTCACAGAAATACCCAGGGCTGTGGTTCTTCACCACCACCACTTTCTGTGCTTTCAAGAACTGACACAGTAGAAGAGAGAAGATCATCCTTCAGGGATTTTTTCCCCCCACAAAAGGCTATGTAGCTTTTCACTTTAAGAAGCTTTAGGGAGGCTGATAGGATATGAAGAATGCTGGCTGTCGAATGTCATGCTGGGTGCAAGTGCCCTGAGCAGTTTGGCTCTCATTTATAGCATGTGATTTTGCTTTGCAGTCAGAAAAATTCTGGAGAAAACGTGAGAAGTTTTGACTCAGGGACTATAAAGCTTTCTGAATGGAATGACATATATGGAAAATAAGTGGTATGAATAAGGAAGTAACTGCTCCAACTATTATGCATGATTTATTACAGGTTGTAAAATTGTAAATTCAGGTATGCACAGAGTTTCATTGATGCTTGTATGTTTTTAGGCTATAGATGGACAGTTCTATTTTATATCAGTGTAGATGCTCACAATTTCAAATAAAAGGAAGCACCCACCTCATGGCTTGTGTTCCACGTTTACTCCCTTGCAATTATTTGAAGCCATCCAACAACTTGCATAAACACAGGGTCTTGAAACTGGTCACGAAGAGTGATAACTATAGTGAAATATGTATTTAAATGCTCTTTGTGGGGAAAGTACTTTGTAAAAGGCTTTGCCTTTGAATAACCATCACTTTGCAAGTGAACAGTTAATTGAGTAGTCTTAACAAACTAAGCTTAATTTATTAGGCTTCTAATATACTTTGAAGAATTTTTAAGCTAATACAGCTACTGCAGAAATGGAGTTGTCTTTTGACATAATATTTTTCAAAATAATACTCACTCTGTTGAAGTTCTATTTAGCAGTAAGATGGTGAAAGTTCATTTTTCCCCAAATTCCCTATTGTATACTGATAATTCTGGGTTCTTGTACAATAATACAGAGCCTCTTAGCACACTGTGCATAGATATAATTGTTAGTGTAATAAGTTACATTACATTCTCAAGTGAAAGCAAACTCCTTTTGCATCATTTTTCTCTTTCATGCTCAGGGTACCCTAACAAGTGTTGTTGATAAGCAGAGGAGGATGTGGGAAGGAGCTTGGGAAACCTGTGCTCTGTATGCAGGCCAAGATAATTGCTGGTTTTAAATTGAAAGTGGGATTTTTATTCCAAGGGAAATTGTAAGCAGGAACAAATTCTACTCTAAAAATTATCAAAATACCTAATTCTGATAAACTTTGCAGAGTGCTTCAGAAACAGTCATTGTTCTTATAGCTGGGATTCCTGTCCACCTGTTTCCCAAGCTTAGTTGCTGAGATTTCTGTGTGCTCACCTTTGGGCTGCATAGCAGACTGGGCTAACCAGGTACTGAGAAACTGGCAATAAAAAAAAGAAAATCAAAACTTTCCTGAGGGATGTTTTTCTTTTAGTTGAAATTGTTTATATTTACAGAAATGTACAGAATTCTTTTGTCAACTTTGTTGGTCAACTTTCATTAGTCTTCCACTTGTCACATTCCAGAACAGAATAATATTGCATCAGATGAAATATTTTTGTGCTTGTCAGTCGGGGTTTTGCTGGGTTTTTCTCTCTCTCTTTTTTTTTTTTTTTTTTTTCCTTTTCCATACTGTGCCAGCCAGGAAGCCTAGCACTGACAAGGCAACTGGTCTGCTCTATCTGGTCTATATACTGGGAGAGTCACAGCTTATATCTATAACATGCTGTCTTACACGTACCAGGTTTTTAACTGCATGGGATTCTTTTCTATAAAGCACTCTTTGCTGGCTTATTCTGTGGTGCCACTGGGAATAAAGAACAAGATCGTACTTGAAATTGTTGGTTTTTGTCACTTCCATCTGTGTATGAGTTTGCATTCCATAATTATAGTCTATATAAATAGTTTCATTTTGCATAGAGTAAAGGGTACTAGGATATAATAAAGTGATTTGTGTGTTTGTTATAATAGGATGTTCTTTTCTCATTTTCCTTACACATGTGTAATATATTTTAGGTATGGGAAAATTGTATCCACAAAGGCTATTTTGGACAAGACTACAAACAAATGCAAAGGTATGTATATTTTTCTTTATACTCTGCTCCCCTGATTCTATAAAATGTGTTAATGTTGTATTTTAAGTTCATTTTACCTTTGTTGGTTTGGTTTGGGTTTTTTTTCCCCCATTCTTGCTCCTAAACGAGTTTTATTCTTGCTGGTGGTTGGTGTATTCAATGCATTTGCCTCCAGTGGAGCTGGCAGCCAGCCGGTGTCGGTGGTGCAGCCAAGCCAGAGCGAAGCTGACATGCACAGTGCTGGCTGGCATCTTGCCTCTATTTTAAAAACAAAAATGGGGTTAAAAGCAGCTTTTCCCCTTTTGCCTGGAGAAACTAGGGAAGCTTGCAGATGACCATTCAACTAAACTAAGCATCTTAAAAAATTATACATTGTGGAAATAAGCTCCATTGATTAGTGTAGCTTGAAGCAGCACTTAATTACATGTTCTAGTACTCTAATTGTGTTTTGTTATGTTCTATTGAATGTATTGGGAGCAAAGAGAGGGTTCATTTTCAATGAAGTAATTGCAGCTGGAAAAAAAATTAGGACTCCTCTAGATAAGCTGAACATATCAGTTCATGGATTCTCATCACTCACTGCAACAGCAGCGATTTGGATCCCAGCATGTTTGTGGTGGGAGAAGGTGTAGTAGCAGACACTGAAATACCAGATTTCAGACTTTAATTTTTTACAGTTAAGAGGTTAATTTCTAAGCAAATTGAAATATTAAGTCAGCTGATTGAGCAGTTTTAATAAGCATAATGCCCATGAACAAGCAGAAAGCTGAGAGGCAGAGGGAGGAGAGTTCATCATTAATTAAGACAAAGCTTTTGTGCAGAACTTGGAAGCAGTGCAGGGACATAGATCCTCAACTCCCCATCTTAAGCAAGTTAAAGAGGCACTGACAGTTCAGAAACTGAAATTTCTAGAAAATTTTTTCCTAGCTTGTATGCAGTTGTCATTGTGACTAGAAAAGAGGAGATACCCTTTTCAATTACTTTGATTAGTTAATGCCTATGATTGCACTTACCTGATTTAGTCTGTCCATTCTGTCAGTTCCTGAAGTCTTCAGTAGTTCTTTCAGAGATACAGAAATTCTCACATTAATTCTTTAAGAGGTTTAAGATGACTTTTTCAAAACAGAACTTAAATCTCAATGATTTAAATTAGCAGCCTGTTGTGACAATACACTGCAAGGTGAGGCTTCGGGGAAGCTCACTGCGTGTCGCTGAAATTGCAACAGGAACATAAGTAGGCAGAATGCAAATATCTGACTGGAATTTAACCAAAAGATTGACAGCATCTCTGGTTTTTGCCAAAAAAACACACCATGGGGTTTAAACTAACTGGAACAGCGAGCAGTTGAGTTTCTGTGTCATCTGGAAGGTGGCAAAGGCAGCTTTGATGGCATGCTTGGTGTCAGTATGTAACTTTCTATTACACCCTGCAGTGTGTTGGTGATAACCCAGGCTGCCGTGGGTGTGGAGAGCTGGTTTGGGGTAAGGAAGTTAGTCTTGCCTTGGCAGCACAAAACTTGATATGAACTGGTTCCCTTTGTTTTATGTCAGGATTTAACAATCCACACCACCACGTGTTACACAAAACAATATGCTGCTTTCTTCAGCTTCTTGGCAGCATAAATAAGCTTGCACTGATGTACAGGGATGCTTGAGTTGTTTGTTGTGAGTTAAGAGCTTTAAAGCTTGTTCTCTTATAACATTAGACAGCCTTTTCTCAGTATAGATATATTGTAAGAGGATTGTAATATATTTTGAAGAAATATTTACATTTTCTACTGCTCCAGAGGTTGTTTCATTGTTAGTTTTTTTGTTTGTTTTCTTTTTCCCCAGCTTTAAGTCTAGAAAGGGATTTTATTAATACTTGGGCAGCAAACTGGAAACAAGGGGGATTGAAAAATGCAGAATGAGGTTTGCAATAACATCTAGTGGAAGTAGCTTCCAAACTCTGACTGCCTCTTGGTGAGTCTTGAGCCTCCAATTCCCAGGCTGGATTAAAAATCCCAGCCTGTAGGATCAGTGTCTGGTAAGGCCAAGGTATATTGCAATTTAGACATCCTGGAATCCATCAGTTACATGGTCTTGTTCAGAATAAGAAAAGAGGTTATTGCAAATATATGGAATTTGTTTCAATTGATGTTGAGCTTATTTTAATATTTAAAGATTGCATTATATGGCTGTTTTCAGGACAGCCTTTCACATTCTTTCAATAATAGGAAAAACCATTAGGTTTCACTGAAGATGGGTTTTCACTCAGTTTTAAAATTAACTGTCTTCTATGTATATACAGTGAGATAAGTAATTTACCAAAAATTGGGTGGATATGTGTATTTTAAATTAAATTCCTCTCCCAATTTTGAATAAACAAAAAGTAACTTACAGACTTACTTGTCATTTTTTCAAACTGCAATAAGAATTTACTTCAGAAAAATTAACAGATGATGCTGCATTTGGTGATCTCTGAAATAATCTGCTGTTCAAAATTACATACCAGGTAATACAAAGCAAAGCACTGTACTGCTTGCGAGCAGTTTGACCAAAATTCTCATAATGCGTGGACATGGAAATGGATTTGTTCCACTAGGGCAGATCCCCACCAGTTCAAGGTTCAAGAGCTTTGCTAGGTTTTTTTGGTGGGGGACACTGCAGGAAGACCTGGAGTTCAAATTGTCCCTCTTCAACAAGAAAATTGTATTAAATAACCATGCCAGTAGCACGACTGTTGGCTGTGAAGTGTTTGTTTATAAGCTGTTGCTGTCTTGTTAACAAAATGATGTTTTCTCTTTCAGGTTACGGTTTTGTTGACTTTGACAGCCCAGCAGCTGCTCAGAAGGCAGTTTCTGCTTTAAAGGCCAGTGGAGTCCAAGCACAGATGGCAAAGGTAAGTTAAAATAACCAGCAAATTCTTGCAATGGGTTATGAAGGTGAACAAGCTTGTACAGTGGCACAGCAAGGGCAGTGTGGAGTTTCCAGCTGCAGGGCCCTTTACAGAGAGCACAGTCCTCAAGCCACGTGATTATTATGGTAATAAAATGGAGAATTTTGTCTGCCATATCCCAAATAATCTCAACAAATTAAATAAAGAAGCATTAAACTGTAAAGTCTCCAAACTGATCTCATTGCATTTATCAATTTATTCATAATAGTCTTTTCCATTGGCTTCATCAAACAAAAGTTTCTCAATGGTTTGTAAAAACTACAGCAGGCTTAATGAATTGGTTTACAGCACAAAGGTACAAAAAGTTCAATAGATTGTCTGTTTTATAGTGAGGTTAGAAGCCTTGTGATTTAGGGATTAATTTTTAAGTATATTGTGGTAAAATTTAACCTTTGAACTTTGTTTCAGCCCTTCTAGTATATTTTCAGCTAATATAAGTAAAATTTGAATCTGACCATTCATGATAGATGCTTTAAAATTCTTAGCCAGCTCTTAGCTGACCTACTTTTGCATCAGGGCAAACCTAGGAATTATTAAAAAATAGCAGAATGAGAGCTATCTTCTTTTTTCCAATTTTAAACGAATATTGCCTCTGAACCAGCTTATTAGCCAGATGTGATCTTCAGTGCTCTTTTGTGAAGTTAGTTAGATGATACTTTAGTAATGATACTGTCATGCATTCTTGTTGGGTCAGATGGCCTGGTTCAAAAAGAGAGCCATAAACACATCTACAAATTTGTTAACTAAAGAAAATATTACCAGTATAATCTTTTGATAGAATTCTGGTACCTCTTAAAGGAAATTTATTTTTAGTTTGAAAATTATATACTAATTTAAAAAACCTAAAATCTAGTAATCTCAGAGGCTTATTTATTAAAGTAGTCTGATAGAAATCTAACAAATCTTTTATAGTTATCCACTAGGTACAGATTTTTTTCAGATGAGATATTTTCCACAGCTTCTCAGCTAAAGAGAACAGTTAAGCTAACAACATAAATGTCTTTGGATGGATTCCAGGGCAACAAAATGGAAACCATATGTTTCATACTTAATGCGTGTTTCATTACAGCCATGACACAAATATACATGCTTACTGGAAAACACTTGGGTTTGTTTTCTTTTTATAAGGTTTTATGTATGCTTAACAAAGACCATTTATTTAATATTCAGGTTTTAGGTGATTACTTGAAAATATGCCCCAGATTTTTTCAAAGTTCAGTTTGCCATCTTATGATTATGGTATCTAGATAGGAGAGGCAAAAAGAGATTTTGAAGTCATGTGAATTCATTTTCTTAATGAACTTTGATGTCTGATTTAATTGTTTTCTTGAGTACATGGAGAAGGTCTAATATTTAATATAGTAACCTAATGAATAGTTTCTTAATCTTTTTTATAGTATATATTTCTGATTCATTTCCTCTGACAGTTGCAAGATCGGTAATATTTCTTCTTGTTAACATTAATGAAATAATGTGCACCAAAATATTCTACAGTTTTGGATATTTTTCTGACCCTGTGTCAAGCTTGATGACCTGTGGGAAACCTGTAACTATGAGGTTTGCACTCCAGCAAAACTTGTTCTGCTGCTTAACTCAAACACTCTCTCTGCTTCTCCTGCAGAGAGAGTGTTTGAGTTATTAAAAAGACCAATCTCAAAACCAGCACAATGAACAGTACCACAACACACAGTCACTAGTGACTATGAATTTGAGTGTTTTGATTTTTGTCTGTTTTGAGCCATTGGATTTTTTTTCCCCCCCTGGGCAATGCTGCTCTCCTTTTGTCTGAAAAATCCTAACTCTGCTTAGATGCTCCAAATTGGGAATGGCCAGTCAGAGTTGCTTTGGCAAGATATGTAAATCACACCCTTCACATGCAAGGCACTATAAAAGTTTGTGTTTGTGTGTTTAGTATTTTATCCTTTTGCATGTGACCACCTGTGCCATGGGGTGGTGGTCCTGCAGTGACACTGCTTCAGGCTTAAGCCTGAGTGGCACAGAGAAGGATTTGAGGAGTTTCCTGCTTGTCTGGGCAATCGATTTCCTTGCTGACCACCACAGCTGCTGCAGTTTTAAAGAGGAAATCCCATGCCTGTGGGGTGATTTATCCATGGGAAAGTGTTGTAATTACTCTGTGCCCAGGGTGTGAGGAGCAGCACAGCTCCTCAGTGCTCTCATCCCCCCAGACATGGTTCCTGACACACAGCAGCTGAACAGGGGGGAAAATGTTCTTGCTGAAGCCACATACTGACTCTGCCATAAAGTCCTTTTTGCAGTGTCCTGCTGTAGCTCTAGGTCAGTGAGATAAAAACTACTAATGTCAGCAAGTTCATCTGCAAATCCTACTTTAGTGGAAGCGGTTAAAATTTTTATATATTAAAATTTTTGTTGTTTTGTAGCGGTAACTTCAAATTACAGTTATGTTATTTTAAAAAATATTAAGTAGTGAATTACATTATGATTATGGCTATGATGATGATTATTATTATTATTTTCCTACCCATGGGGTAAAATCATACTGTATTTGGCAGTCTGCTTCCAAGTTGATCTGAGTTGAGAAAAATCCCACTTGCTCTGTTTTGCTACTGCTGAGCAGAGTGGGAAGGCCCAGGACCCAAGATATGACTTCAGCCCAAACCCTGCCAGATCTGTTCCAGGGGTCACTGTTGGTGGAGAAGTGGCCACCACTCAGGAGATGCCACAATAATGGAACCCTGTGTCAGTCCATTGCTCATGAAATACCGTATCTTTAGCTATTCTGCTTTTTCTGAGATCTGAATTGGGAACCTTTGACTAAGACAAAGCCTGGAAAGAGTTTTGCTTTGTGCTGGTTACCAGTGTCTTCTGGTCACTGCTGAAACAAATGTTTCTGATGTTTCCTTTTGGCCAGAAAATGTGGCTAAGACCTCACATAGTATGATAATTGCATAGCCAGGGGATGGGAGTAGGTTTTGGATGGAAATTTAAAATGGATTTAACAAGCTCTTGCCCTTCTCCTCTTTTCCACTTGAGTATTGCTAGTGGTAAGTTCATCTTTTTCAGGGCGTGTAAGTGGCTGTGGAAGGGGATCAGATGATGTGAGCTCTACTGATAACCAATGTGTTTCAGGACCCACCAGTACAAACCAGTAGGTTAGCTCTTACTCAAGAGATCAAATACATGTCTTACAAAAGTAGTGTTATTTCTAAACTAGTTTGTAACTACTGGATGTCCAATTTTTATTCTGATTCATTTTAATTTATCAAAATTTCTTTTCTTAGTTTATGTTCTTGCTCCTAGAGGAGTGATTATAAACCAAGAATCATAAGTTCAAAAGCTGTGATTTCATAGACCTGTCTTAGGTAAAATTAGTAATAGTATTGAAAAGTTCTGACCATTTCGTTTGTTAGAAAAGTTGTGGTTGCTGTCAGTGATTCTTCTGAGAGCCGTCTTCTCTTCCCACAACACCACAAGTAAAAGTGAGATAATTCTAGGTTTCTACAGAGCAGGCAAAAAGGGACTTTGTGTATAGGAAGATAGATGCACTCAGAAAATCAGCTATATATTGGTATTTAGAATGGAGATTTAAAATACTGATACTTTGTAAGGATGTTTTAGAAGTGGTGAGGTATAAATGCTATGGAGATACCAGACACCTAAGTTCTCATAGGCTTTTGACTTTGAGGTTAACATAAAGCATCCGATTCACTGCTCGGACCAAGTTCTGTCTCATCAAATGGTGGTAACTGAATTCACCTGTAGCTTCTGAAGCAACTGTTTCAAATGGAAAGTTGACTAATTCTTACTTTCTGGGTGCAAACTAATGTATAAATATAAAAGGTAAAAAAGAGCTACTAAGTAAGATAGTTACTAAAACCCATCTTCTCATCTTTCTGACTAGCAAACATACAACAGGAAGAGAATCATTGTATTTCTAGCCCAGATAAAGTCAGCAAGAGAATATCTAAATTATACTGACAGCAATGTAGAGCTGCACAAGCCAGCTAGAATACCAGTGTGGTTCTGCCAGCACAGACTTCATTGGGTGTTAACTCCTTCCTGGCATGGCAGGGACATTTGTACAACCAGATTGTCCATCTCCTGGTAGGTTGACAGATTTCTGAGATAATAGTGAAAGGCTTATATCTACATGAGGAATTACCACACAAGAAGAATTAATGGACATTCTCACAACTGAACTCCAACCATGTGTTGAAAATTAGTGTACTGTCCTCTCTTTAAAATGGTTTAAGCCATCCAAGTCCAACACAGCTGTGATGGACTCAATGACCCTGATTCTCTACACTTTGTTGTTGAAGACCTTGTCTTCTTGTGTCTCTTCAATTCTCTCTTTCCTCATGAGATTTGTAGTTCTCCTATATGTGCACCTTCACTATAAGATAGTCAAGATAATGTATGACTTAAAACGGTTGATTTTCATTATTTTCCAGTTTCTGTTTTCCTGGGGTTTTTTTCCTATGGAAGCATAACCTTTAGAAAGCATATACTACTTGCAATAGAAGCCATGAAAGTAGTCCACAGACATGGAAGATTTCTGTGGTCAGTGAGCCTTGTTAATTTGAGACAAGGAATGCTGTTCTATGTACTAATGTGCATTTTTGTGGGAAGACTCACTGTTTATCCATTCAAAGATTTCCCCAGAGTTGCACATTTTTAGGACTTAGAACTTCAGATTTATAATGTTACAATTTCCTCCTCCCTAAAACCTTCGCTTCCGCTGACACAATGAAGTGTGGTCCTGCTTATTTTTATTAGCTCTCACATCAATTTATCACTAAATACTTTCAAGTATTTTAAGCTTGTGCAAAAAAATAGGGCCATCTTAACAATTGTTTCTTATTTGAATTGTGTCAGAATAACAATGTGCTGACAATGTAAAGGATGGTCTCCCATCACATACTGATTTCCACCATTCTTAAGACACAATTTGTGTTTTCTGGAGT